CCTTTGCTTCAGATAATCCTGATTTTAAGTTAGTTTATTTACTCATGACTTTAGTATCTGGATATTATGCTCCTTCAACTCGCTGTTTATTGTTGAATGTTTTACTAGGTATTGGTGTTATAATGATTTTTTAAATTTTTAAACGAACCTGAGTGTTACCATGTTGGAATTATTATATCTAAAATATGAAGGTTAAAACATGTAAATTAAGCCTTCCAATCTGTTCAATATAGATTTAAACATTTGATAACAAATATAAACAGATAAAGTGGCATGAATTTTTGTGATTGGTGTCGTTAGATGAGTATTATCTTAACAGACAAGATTGACAAAGACTACTTTAACTTGTTTTCTGTAATGAATTACCAGGTTTTTGATAGAGTACATTGGATACAAATTAGATCTTTATCTTGGTATAATTTTAAAAGTTGATTGGATTGAGAGAGTAGGTTCTTTCGTGTTTAATGTTTATATCTCCTCTTTTTTAAATATTCTTTATATTTTTTCAAAATTAATCTTACTTAAACAAAGTATGTCCATATTTATACCTAACCAGAAAATGGAAGAAAAATAATATCCAACAAAACAGCAACACAATAGATGTATATTCATATCTGAGTTTATTGGTAGGACTTAAATTTTTTGTTCTTGATGTTTCGTCAGACAAATGCGATTCGGCAGACATAGTAGTATTACAGATCTCGTATCTTCCTTTGTTCCTCAAGAATTTGGGCTAATTGTAGCAGCCATTTACCCTTCGGAATCTGTAGATTCATCCAATTTGGTGTAGAAATTTTCGGTGCTTCTGTGAATAATTTTTTTATTTCGTAGTTTTCACAGCCCCAACCTATTTAGAGGCAAAAGTATACTACTAATAGAATATAAATCAAAATTTACCAGGAAGTTGTTTAAAACATTAAATTGTTAATTAGTCACCGGAGTGATAGCAGATTATATCCTGAAAGATCTGCTCTAGAAGAACATGCTAACAAAGAACATCATAAAATGAATTATAAATCGGTCAGTTTTAGCTATAGAGTCTAACTACACTAAAAGACTTTTCTTAGAAATGGTATTCATTTCTCAGAATTCCAACGTAATGAACAAAAGGAGTGATATAAATCATTTAAGCACTATTTATTCCTACCTATTATATTTGGATAGCCATTCTCTATTCCAATGATGTCTCATCAACTTATTCACTGTAATTTTTCAAATTTCATTCTTCTATCTTATAAAAAAAATTTTAGTTTACAATTTTGTTTCAAACAACTTTCTGTTAAATTTTTATTTATATTCTATTAGTAGTAATACTTCATAAGAAAAAGAAACAATAATAAAAGAAGAAGTGGTGTCATTTTGCAATGTCCAGAAATGACATTTTCTCTTAATAACAATTCACACTTGGCCTTTAAAACTGTTTTTTAATTTTGTCTTTTTCTTATGTGTCAATTTATATAATTAGTCAATTTAAAAAATTTTTTACACCATGTATTTTTTAGTTTTTAACTCATTTTATGAGTGGTGCGTAATATTGTCACATGTTAGTGTAACATCCAAGAAATACTAATCTCAATAACGTAAGTAAAAAAAAACAACTTTTACATATTTTAATAAATAAATTTTTTTTCGAGGATGTTTTACTAACATTAGCACTTTATTTTAGTTTTTCCTGATGATGAAAATAAGTATTTTTGAAAGCTTGAAATTCAGTTAAAAGAGTATACTTATTTCACCGCTGCGTATCCCAATAATCCTCAAAGCTCCTCCGTTTTCTAACGTAGTCAACGAAGACTTCTTTTTTCCTTTATATATATATATATATATATATATATATATATATATATATATATATATATATATATATATATATAACTTAAGACCTGTTCATTATTATTATTATGTATTTCTATTTTAATATTCTCTGAAGTGTTATTCATTGTTTTTGTTTTTTTATAGTTCAGTCTTAGAGCGATCTTTCGTGTATTCTTTAACTTCTATTCATCACTTTGTACCAGGAAGACATCATCAGCGTATCGTAGATGGTTAAAATATTCTCCATTTATTCTTATTCCTTTTTCTTGCCAATTTAGTTCCTTGAATACATTCCTGGTTTTTTACATCTTTAAAGATAAGAAAGAAAATCTGCATGCAGACACCTGTGACTCACCCAAGTAGTGTTGAGTTCCCAATACCTTAAAGAAGTTGTAACAGAACGAGTTACCCGAGGGAGTTAGACCTTTGACATTTCGTCCCGTAACCACTCAGACAGTCGGCGTCTAACTAAAAACCTCCCCTCTGTCACCCCATACAAAGGAAAGGCTGGCTAAGGCACAACATCTCTCTTAATGCCCTGCTATCACCCGATTTCCATTCTTTCTTCCACACATTCATCGGCAAAAGCATACCTACACGAACCACCAAAGACTTTCAACCCCCTGTCTTAGCGAGGCTGCTATCTCTCTCGCGTCATCCGTCTCATTCGCTCCTATTTCGACCTGCGACAGTCCGAACTCCACCGAGGTGCTACTCACTCGTTTTAAAATTCGGTTATGAGTTCCCTCTCCTCTCATTTTTTTAAAGAGAGCAGCTCTCTGATAAATTTGTGGATCCTTGTCCATCATCAATCATCCCCAACATTTTCTCCATCCACCATTTCTCTCACGGAATCAAACCTTCTGCAGTTAGACTCTCTTTCAAACTTCTCTCTTTCATCCGCTCCACGCTAACACTTCAACATCGTGTGTTTCACAGCATCCGAGAAACCACAGTAAAGGCACTAATCAGACTGTGTCCTCCTAAACCTGAAAAGGTAGCTGCGGAACCAACCATAGCCTGTGAGCATTTGCGCCATATAATAATCCAGCGGCCTATGCCCACAGTCTAGCCAGCTTCGAAGGTTCGGGTTTAGTGATTTCGTCCACTCCGCCACATCACTTGTTCCCCCTCTCCTGCTGATACTGACCTATTAAAACTAATCTCTCAGCCAGCCTTATTTTGCGGTTTTCCAATCTCATTACTTAAATATACCTGCTACCGAAGCATCCTCATCACCGACACTCCTGGCTAACTACAGCCCCCGTTACTTAACACGGGGTCTGTGGTCGGACGGGGAAAATCTAGGTGATTCGATGTAGCGAAGTAACATCGAAATGGTAGCGTCCGTCACTGTTGGATTAAATACACACACACATACACACACACACGCACAGACACATACACACACACACAACCCATGATCAGTGACAAAGTGAACAACATCCTTTATAGTATACTTCAAGGTCTCGCTCAAACTGCTCATCACCATTTTTTCTCTGGGCCCATCTGACTTAAAAGATCACTTATTTATTACTAAAGCTTATTGTGATTGCTGCCCATTGTTGTTTCCTACACCCAGTCATTTCTGTACCATGAAGAAGTTTATACAGGTCTTTTGCTTGATGTATCCTAAATATATAAGGGTCTCCTCTTGGATACCCATACAGTATTTGTTTTTTGCAGTCCAGTGACTCAAAATCGCATAATATATGTTTTAAGTTTCTAGTTCCTTGTCACAGAATCTGCAGTTAAGGTCTTCATTGTAAATGTCTATTTTATTCAGGAATTATCTTAGTGTATCATGCCCGGTCAACATTATTGTTACTGTTGTCAGTTTGTTCCATAGGAAGCAGTTCCTCTGTTCTTGTTCTACATGGTTCACAATGAAAATTTTTCCATGTATTTGTTTTGGAGATCTCTCCTAATATCGCTAATGACACTCTCTCTGATCCAGTCCTTTACAGCCCTACGAACTGCAGCCTTTAGTATTTCCAATGAGTTACAGCCGGTTCGTTTGGTTCGTTCGATTCATTCAGTTCTTTGATACAGTCCCATACCAGCCTAGACGTCACTTCCTGACACGCCAGTGCCTTCAGTGCCGCTTAACTGTCAGACAATATATCCGTACCTCGGAGGTAGGTAAAGGACACTATGTCCATTTTCTTACTTTTTAAGGAGAGCAGTTTTAACATTTTTTAAATTTGTAATTAGTAAATACTCAAATGTTTCTGATATTTAACCAAAATTAATATAATATATTAATTTTGGTTAAATATCAGAAACATTTGAGTATTTACTGATTACAAATTTAAAAAATGTTAAAACTGCTCTCCTTAAAAAGTAAGAAAATGGACATAGTGTCCTTTACCTCCGAGGTACGGATATGGATCTACTCTTTTTCAAGAGATATCTTATTATTTCCTTTTGCACATTGCAGTATCGCATAAATCTACGCTTGAAATGTATTCCTGAAATATTTCTGCCCCCCCCCACCTTTTTTTGGATCCATCTGTAAACCAGATCTTACCCTGTTGGTTGTGGTAGTCCTTGTTTCTCCATATATTACTATATGGAATAGACACCCTATATGAATTTTTAAAATTGTATTTTTTGTTATGTCATCTGATTTATTATTAAAAATGTCATTCGTAACAATCCTTGTCATACTCATATGCCCTGTCCCTCCATTGCAAAGTTTCAGTGATTGTTTTATTCTGTAGGCTCCCAATGTTGTTTCTCCTTGTATTATCAAATGGCTTAGCAGAGCCCCCATACCTGCTATTGGAGTAGTACGCATGGCACACGCAAATCTTTGCAACTTGCAGAGTTTGGCTTTTACAGCTGTTTGGAGTGTCTTAGTCCACCACATCATCGCTGTATAGGTACTTAAGGGTTTGATCACCATGGTATAAACCCAGTACACCATGTCCGGTTTTAATTGCCATTTCTTTCCATACATACGCCTGACCCTCATACTTGTTGTAACTGCACTGCTTATTATTTCTTTCTAATTTCAGGTAAGTTTTGAGTCACGTATAACCCCCAGATACTTTACCTCTTCCTTTGGCTAAATTTCTTGTCCCTGCAGCATTAGAGAACCTTAACCTCTAATTTCCATTTGCGTGTGAAGCTGACTCATCACCCTTTATAATATGGTCCAACTAAAATTGCTTAATTAAAACACATGTTTAGAAATCAATTTTTTATTTAAAATAAAACGTATCTAAGTTTGATACCAATATTTTGTTTACAATTAAACTTTCGCAGGTGCTGCAACAATAGCCTCCTCGAAGCCTGATTCATTATGTCCGCGACGTATTTTAAACAATCCCTTGTCTCCCCAGTCTTCATTCCATGAATTAGCAACCAACCAATAAGCAACTCCATTCTCTTCTCCCCATCCTAAAACTCTGACGGCATGTCCTCCTAAATATTCTCCAGCGACATGTTGATAGACACCTAAAATAAATTTATTTCATGTATTAATAATATATATTACAATGGGATAACGGGCAATCAAATAGACCATGTTTTAATTTCGAAAAAGTCTACACAAATAATACAAGATGTGAAGCCTTATAGAGGAGTAAATGCAGACAATGATTACATATTACTAATAGCAAAACGAAGATAAAAATAATCAAAACGAATATTAACAAAAAAAGAAACAGGGCAAACACAGAAAAGGAATGAAGCAACATAGAAAAACTGCATAATAGAAACTACAGAACAAATATTAGAAACCTAAGAAAACAAAAGAAGGAAGCATTGTTTGATGAAGAATGTCATAAAAAAAATTAACTCAAAAACCTCACGAGAAATAAATAGCTAGAGAATGAGAGACATGAACAACTGAAATAATAACGAACAGAAACACAAGAAGTTACGAAACTCTGTAGAAGAAAAAAGAGACATGGATCTGTCACGCGTAGACACTAATGTCATAGTATAAAAAAGAATTGTGGTTAAACTGTGCTAATGTTTAAAATTTAGGACGAAAACATGCCTGTAGAGTGGAACAATGGGCACATCACACAAATTTTTAAAAAGGGGGATTCAACTACTGCAACAACTATTAGAGCTATTATGTTACTTAACACAACGTATCCTGACAACGTATCCCTTAAGTTCCTGACCACAATTATAAGAATCCGACTACATTGTTACACAGAAAAACATAGCAGTTTCAACAGGAATTAGAAAAGGCGAGATCAACAATAGACTTAATACACATACTAACGCAAACCGTTGTAAAAAGCTACGAACATGACATAGAACTATATATATTATTCATCGAATTCCAACAGGCCTTCGATAGCATATACAGATAACAATTATTAAAAGAAATGAAAAGGAGGAAATACCAGCAAAGTTAATAATACTAAATAGAATGGAAATGAAGGACTCATTGCAAGAGTTAAAACAAACAAAGGACGAACGACATTCAGATAGAACGTGGCGTAAAACAAGGAAATAGTTTGTCAACGGCACTATTTAACATCGTACTAGAAGGAGTAATCAGAGACACAGGGTTAAAAAAGACAATGATTCAAAGTTTATCACAAATCATAGGATACACGAACGACCTAGCATTGACAAAGGCTATAAGAAACACTTCTAACACTAAGATAAGCAGAGACCAGAGGACTAATAATCAATCAGAATAAATACCAAAGTATGAAAAGAAAATAAAGACAAAAATATATAGAGCAGCCATTAGACCAGTGTTAGCATATGGATAGCATATGAAGCAATTTTTAACTTATATTAATAATTGCCAATTGCGGAGAAGACCTTCAAAATCTAATCAACAAAATAAAACAGACTTGTGATCAGTATGGATTAAAACTCAACGTTAAGAAAACTAAATATATGATAGTTAGCAAACAAAATTATATACAGGATGACGGTATAAAAGTCGGAGATGCCACACTGGACAGAGTAGAGAAACTCGTGTATCTCGGCAGTAATATCAATGAGAGCTGGGATCCAACCGCAGACATTAAAAGCGGAATAGAACAACCCCGAGCTGCCTTTGTAAAAATGAGAAACGTACTTTGCAGTCACGATCTTAGCATTGACAGAGTTCGTATGACATCTTGCTACATCTTTCCTGTCCTGCTGTATGTAGTGGAAGCGTGAACTCTAACTGAGGCTATGCTTAAACGCTTGACAGCCTTTGAGATGTGGGTATACAGACGACTACTGAAAATAAGCTGGGTCGACAGAGTTAGAAATGAGGAGGTCTTTAGACGTCTGAGCCAAACAACACAACTGGTCAATATAATAAAGAAACGCAAGCTGGAATACTTTGGTCACATTATGAGACACCCTGAAAAATATAATCTTTTACATCTGATCATTCAGGGAAAGATCCAAGGTAATCGTGGTCCTGGTAGACGAAGAACATCATGGCTGAAAAATCTAAGGCAATGGTATGGAAAATCAACTACATCGTTATTTAGAGCTGCTGTCAATAAAGTCACGATATCGAATATGGTAGCCAACATGATATCCAACGATCTATAACGGTCATGGAAGTAGAAGAAGAAAAAAGACAAGGAAAAGCTAAGCACAATTGAAAGAAAAATTATAAGAAGAATACATGATCAATTAAAGACTAATAGGAAGAATATATAAGGATGATGAACCGTGAAATACTAAATATAGCCAAAGGGAAATATACAGTAAAATTTATTAAAGCACAAAGACTGAGATGGTTTGGATAGACACAAACAAGAGGAAAAGATGAACTAATTAGAAAGATAACGAACTGAAAATCAGTAATAAACAAATCAAGAGCAAAACCAAAAATAAAATGTGAAGACCAACTACTGGAGAATATATCAAAGATGAAAATATCCTAAAAGATATATACGGACTAAACCACGGCGTTAAATGATTTAAAAGAGCTCAAATACCAAAGTATACAGATATGTGAGAGTAGTTAAATTGAATTCACAGTGAGTTTGCTATGATTTATGATCTCACTTGGTAGGGGAGATCGAACGTGGAGCAGTATTTTTCAGTACAAAATATGTTTTAATTTTAAAACTGAGATATTTTAAAACAAACACGCCTCAAACGTAGGTGCTCGCAGATACTATGATTTGAATGTTGCATCTGAAATTATAGAGACGTGAAAAAATTTGAAAATTATACAATTTAAAGTTTTACAATTAAATCTAGATCTCAAACAAAAGGTTGGATGACAATTGCCTACAGTAGTCAAGATATAAGTGTTGTTCAACTTGGACCGATGGCCGGCTTGGACAATTTTATGTTAGACACAATAAATATTTAGTTTTTGCACTTATTGCATAAATATAAATACTTACCACTTTTGTAATTCACGAAGTCGCTGTACACTTCAAAAGCTGCTTCTACCGGACCATTGGTCAATATTTCCCTTTGAATATTAGCAACTGAACTGAAGTAATGTACAGAACCTGAAGCAAAAGTTAACTCGGACTTATAATTGAGTGCTGGATTGTCACATTTATGTTTGCAAGAAGGTGTGTTGTAGTTCAAAGTGCTGCATTGTACTTTATTACCATCTGTATGATGTTCACATGGTTGAAGCGAATAAGATTGACAACCCTAAAACAATATATTTTTATAGGTAGGTAAGATTATATAGGTATATAGGTAGCTAAGATTATTACTATTACAAGAATTAATATAACTCAACAGTCTTCCGGGTTGAACTGCCTCGATTATCATTGCGCCGTGCTTTCCATGGCTGATGTCTTCTTTAGGGCTTCTGAGGTCTTAGTCTCCCGAGCCCCCAGACACGACTACTTTTTTTTTTGCTGGAGATGAGGGAGAATGTAGCGTTTACGCTACTGATCAACTAAATATACAATTTAAAATCGTATTCACTAAACCTCTCAAGAAATTTCTTGTGTCACGTTAGCGATCAATTTCTCCATCGACATTTCTCTACGCACGCTCCGGGTCGCCTTGAAACCGAATTGATACGAGAATTTTCAGTTGTGGTCAAGACTCATACGTGAAAACACGCCAATCAATCCAAAGTGACGGAATTGGGGCAAATAAAATAACCTAGGAAGAATAAAGTAATAGTCAATTGAGTAATAATAATAATAATGGATAAAAATAATTAAATTCAAAAGAAATCAAGATTTCAATTTTCTAAGAGTTCCAATTAAAAAAGGAAGATTTTTTTTGGCGTGTCACGTGCTCCCGTAAGTATATTATTTCATACGTATTACCTCTTTATCATCCACTAAAATTCATTGCAGTCATTGCAGTTTAGTATTTCCTAGAGATTTATTTTTGAGTTCCGAAATAATTTCAATATAAAATTTCCTTGACTTACTTGCCAAGAACAGAAGGTCATTTTTTTTATATAGTCAAACTTAAATTCCGATCTATTCCATATCTTATCAGTAAGTTTTTGGTTTTTTTTTTTTCTCTAACTTTTTTGGTGGAATATACAAGGTTTCTACAGCCTTCTGTGTTCTGCGCGTGTTCATTTCATGGCGCAAGCCTGTCACGTCTACGAAATGAACTTCATAAATTTTGACATGATGTTGACCTAACCTAATGTTTAATGTTGTGTTCTGGTGAAGTTAATCCCTGCTGCTACATTTATATTACATATTTATTAAATTAAATAATCATTTTAGATTCCGTCACGTGAAAATATTAATTTAAGTTCATTGAAATAACTTTGCATCCTTAAACTAATTAGCAACTTGTCTCTGGAGTTACCGATTTCTCGGACCGGATAGACCAGCGCCTGGTGTTTACTACCGTATACTCCCATGGATTTGTCATCATAGCCCAGAACTAATTTTGCCGTGCCGAGAGGAGTTTTCCTATGGACTTGTAGTGATTTTAAGATAAGTTGTTTAATTGTTTAACTTTTGTTACTTCCTATTTAGTAGTATACCCTCTTCATGTGCATATGACAAGGTGAATACTTTTTTTTTGATAATTTAATTATAAAATATTCGGGGAGGGAAAAAGGACACTTCATGTGTTATTAGGTTTTAACTAGGATTTAGAGAGTCTGACCATAACTCATTTACTTTGATATAATTTTTATACTAGCATACTTTTGAGATAATGTAATTGAGATTGGGGAGGGAATTAAATTTTATGTGGTTTTTTTTAAATATATATATATATATATATATATATATATATATATATATATATATATATATAATGAGTATTGAGAACTCACTTTTGAGATAATATAATTGTAACAGAGTTATCATTGTTGATATCTGTACAATACAGTAATTATTTCTCATTTTAGTAGAACTATTTAAATTTAAATTACTAACCTTAGTGTTAAGACTTAGGCTACCCTACGGACTATTCTTGGTTTATACTAATATTTCATATTTTATTTGGCCAGTGGTAGTGACTATTCGTTTGTTGAGGGACTATTAGGTCCCATTGTATCTGTACACCATCCACTACCACTGTTATTTGGCTTTGCATTATATGTAAATTGTTTATACACATATACCTATATACATTTTTTATAAATATATTTATTGTTGCTATTTTGAGTTTTATTTCAGTTCTACTAACCAGTATATAACATAGCAAAACAAGATTATTATTTAGTATTTTTGTATTTCAGAGTATTATCTCCAGATTCATTTGTTACTTCAAAATCTCAACTATCGTTGAGTTGGCGCCCTTCTTTTCTCTTCTTATTGTTCTCTTTCTATAAATTTATTCCCAGTGACCTTCTTCAGTTGTATCACGTTTGATATTACCAGGTCTCATTTCTTTCTTGTCTCATTAGCTCATTATCTCTTGTTATTGTTGTTTATATCTTTAAAGCCACAATCCAGTGCATTGAAGCTAGCCCGAACACTCACTTGAGATTTAGTGTCTCTTTGGCCATTTAAATTTGTTCCTCTGAGCTTAGCCCTATTTTTAGTATTTTTTTTTCATCACTTCTCTTTCAGTTATTCTGAAATTTGGAAGTTCTACACTTCCTAAAATCCAATACTCCCGGAGTATTGAGGTTTCAATTGGCCCCACGTTGGGCGCCAATTGAATTGAATTGGTTGAGCGGGTCATTTATACCGTCGATGGTGACGTGGCTTGACAGGTTGGCGCTAATATTTCTGACAGTAGGATTTTGATTAACGGAAGAAGCGGACGGTATTTTCTTTATACGAGGACTCCAAGTCGAAGGTAACCGTTTGGCCTCTTTTTAATTCCTATGATGCTGATGGAGGCTATGGTTCTGGAGTTTTGAAAATCAATTTTGTGACCTGTATGAAGATGGTATTGGCCTATAGCTGAAATTGAGTCGGAATTGCGAACAGAAATGGAATGTTTGTAAATCCTATTTTGGATTATACAATTTGTTTGGCCTATATAGAATCGGGGGCAGTCTGCAAAAGGGATTCTATAAACTCCGTGTTGTTCATTGATGATGTTGTTTTTGATTGATCGGACAAGAAATAAAAGTTTTTTGTGGGGTGGTAAATATTGTCTTTATTCCTCTTGATTTAAGAATTTTGTCGATTTTGTCAGTGACACCTTTGAGACAAGGAAGAAAAGCTTTCATATGATGAGGGTCTGAGTCTTTCATTTGAGATTGAGTGGGAGATTGATGTCTGTGGATGCTCCTATTGATATGATTTTCGCGCTAACCGTTTTGGATGAGAGATTGTTTTAAACTAGAGAGCTCAGGGGTCTACTTGCATCATCGCCAAGGCGTATTGATCTGGAGATAAATGTATTAATGCCTAATGTATTGTCAACATATCGTAGCCAACATATGGGTTTGAGTATTGATATGGATAGTGCTCGGGTCTCACACTCTTCCATACAAATATTGGCCATTAATGGAGATAATTTTGAGCCCATTAGAGCACCATTTATTATATGTTGATTTTCATCATACATTTTTGGTGTATGTTAAAAACATATATTTTTATCAAGTAGTTTACCATTAGTTGGATATGTTTTTTATTTTGGAAAATGGATTTAATAAAGAAAAGAAGATTATTTTATTTAAAACAGCGATTTGTAATCATTACTAATATAACAGAAAAATATGTTTTTTTAAATTTTGATTAGATCACGGTCAACATCAGACACTGTAATTATAACAGTATCACATATTTGAACGGGGAGTAACTTTGTTTCTCGGAGGTTCGCAACATTTTTGTTGCTTGAAGGAAAATATTATCTTTTGGAGCTACTAGCTTTGAAGAAACTTGCTTTTACAGTTCAGTCAGTGTTTAGGATGAAGAATATTATTTAAATAAGCCTCTAAATGTTGCCCAGTTTCAATATTTTCGATTTCATCGTAAAGGAGAGGTGGCGACGCTACTTTTTTGGTTTAACGCCAAACATGGCTTCATGTGGACTCTGACGTACTCCTTTATGATAAGTTATATTTTTGGAGAATTGAATAAACGGAAAATCATCTGACTATTTATTTAAATCATTATCTTGCATTCACGCAGTTAACATAATATTCTTGTATGCTCTGATTGGCTCTTTCTATCAATCTCCGGGTTTGACGTCGACGAGGCTTTCCGTGCACTATTTTCACATCTGTTTTCCAAGTAGTGCAAAAGTTAGATATAACTTGGTTACTGAACTCTCTATCATTATCCGAATGTAATATGGTGGGATCATAATACGTAAAAAACTTTTAAGAAAGTGATAAACTAGTTCTTCCGCTCTCTTGATCGTCAATAGTCGTAACTGAACTAACTTGGTCAAATGGTCTTTGTATACCATTAAAAATTTATAATCACCGTCTCTTTGTGGTTGCAAGTCTATTAAGTCGGCTTTACATCTAGAGTTAAATTCGGAACTTACCATTGGTTTTACAACAATACCTTTTTTTGGAGCACTATGTTTCATCTGACACTGTTTATACAAATTTAAATAGAACTTCATAGGTAATATTTTTGTATTTAACTTCTAATTCTTTAAGCATTCGTGTTCTTCCTCTATGGTCTGTTCTTGTGAGTTTCGAAATGTATATCTCGCATTTCGACCGCCATCGTTTTCTGTCCATCCATTCGTCTTCTTTGATGGCTCTATCTCTCATTATGTGCCGTACAATTTCTTTCTAGGCAACTGAAGGCCTTCCCTTTCTTCTTCTTTGTTGTGGTATATAATGTAAAGCTTTTTTTGGCCATCTATCTTCATTTATTCGCTTCACGTAACCATACCACACTAGTTGTCTCGTTTCAATTCTGTCTACACTGAAATATACAGTATTTGTCCTCCTTCTAATATCTTCATTCCTAATATGATCTTTTTTAGATACACCACACGCTCTCCTTAGAAAATCCATTTCTACTACTTCTATTCTTTTTCTATATTTTTCTTGATCTGCCAAACTTCTGCCCATAAGTCATAATAGGCTCTACCAAGGTTTGATAGATTGTCATTTTCGTTTCTTGTCTAATATCATTAGACTATAGTAGAGAGTTTAGAATGTTAACCGCTTTTTTTCCCTGCTGCGTTCTGTTTTCGATGTCTCTTTTGGTATTGCCTTCTTTAGATATTATAGATCCCGATATTTATATTCATTGCATGTTTTTGTGTTTCTAATTTCTAACTCTGGATTTTCTTTATCATCTATTATTCATCATCTTCATCTTCATCACCTATTTTAAGATACTTTGTCTTTGACATATTCATATTGAGGCCCCATTGTTCATATTCTTTCTTTAGTTTTCTAAACATGTAGTCCATGCTTTCCTCATCATTCGCTACGACTACCTGATCATCAGCGAAAAATAAAGTTGTTAGACATTTACCACCGCCTATGTCTATTCCCATTCCGGATACCTGTTTCCTCCACTGCTCTAGCGATGATTGAATATATATTTTCTGTAGATATCACGGATCTACAGTTTGAATTTTGAATGACTAAGATGTGAGTGTACTTGACAATATTACTACCCGTTGGTATATTCAAAATTAAAACGATTAATATTTTTTGGCTTTCAGCTTGTGGGAAGTCCAACTACCAAACACATATAATTTTCTTAACTTAACTAATAAGTGATATAAGTCATAATAGTAGTAGTACTAATATTCACAAGCATTCATAAATATTAATGAACAGTGAAAAATGTTTTTTGGCTTAGTGTAATAATCAGTTAAACCACGAGAAAATTTAAATCTTGGCAATGGTAAATAATTTGTGTGATAACAATATTGCGAATGAAGCTGCCTTTAAGGCGGTCGACCTGAGTGATCAAATCTCCTACTTTCGTGTGTTAATAATTAATCTTCTATATTCAAATTATTAATAGAAAAGTTTACCTGGTTGCTGCCATAAAGACCTCCTGTAGTAATTCCTGTATCTTGCCAATATGCCCAAGCTTCTACTGGATATCCTCCATCGCATCCATATCCACAGGAATCGCAGCAAGACAACAGATTTTCAGCAGAAACAGGTACTTTAAGCTTTCCCTCGGAGGCTATGCATCGTCTGTCACTCATTGCAGAAGCTGCAGCGACTGCCTAAAAACAAATCTCTTTAAATGCCAAAAATTGCAACTAGGATGTAGTAAATGATAAATCTGGTTTACTGCCTTTCCCAGAACTAAAATATGAACACAGGAAGATTTTAACAGGAATTACAATGTATTGATAAAATATTTAACATCATGCTCTTTCATTCAACCATCAAATATAATTAATTTTCATTCTTCAGTCTTTTCATTATTCATATTATCACAATAACATGAAATATAGCAGTAAAATTAGAATGGATGGCGTTATTTGCATGGTTAGAAGAGGTATATTGAATGGTAATAAGTCAAATAGTTTTGGAGTTATCCTTAAAAATAAAAAGTGAAAAGTGGACAGTGATAATAGTCAAAAAATATTATTTAATCTATTATTGAATGGAGTCGTGACTAGATCACGTCTTTTAAAGCAAAAGAGAAAGTGAACGAGTGTAGATAAGATACCATAGCGATAAAGGCGTTAAAGGAATAGCTCAGCTGTGTTTCTACCCAGCCCAGCTTTTACTTATTTAAATATTTCACTTACCCAGCAAGATCCACAAGACGATTGATCTACAACAGTGCTGATAACATCTGAGCACTGTTTCCAGTTTTCTCTTGCATCGAAAGAATCAGGAACTTGAATATTTTCACTGTGTAAAAATTCTTTAGCGACTCCCAATCTCCCTGTTTTGGCTCCTAATAAATTTTTGATCTCTTGGATTGAAAGGTTTTCATCAAAGTTTCTTCCAGCAACCCATGTGCTTTGTTTGCTATTAATATAGTTTATAAAGTCGTTTGAAAGAGGATTCACGTTGTAACTTAATACAACAGGTAGTAATAGCGTAATAATGTAAGCGGCCTTCATTTTCGTGAATCTGTAAAAGATGGAGAGTTATAATATTTTTCTTTATATTATACTGGTGGGTAAATATACACCAATATTATTGAAAACTGTTAAAACTAATTAAGACAGAAATGACGATCTGACATATTATTTTAACGTGATATAGATGAAGATTGGCCTCTCTTAAACGCTACTGAGGGAAAAAAAAGCTAAAAAAAATGTAAGCCCACATATCCGGGAGTAGAAATATATGCCGACGGATCAGAAGATGGAGTATACGGAAGAGAATAACGCAGGCAAATAGAGTTTATGTTGCCCTCTCTCATATATTTCGGTCTAAAAATGTCCACCGAAATACAAAGCTGAGAATCTATAAAACCTTAATTCGACTAATAGAATGCTATGACAGTGAAGCATGGGTCTTGAAAGAAACATCCAAAGGCAATCTCGATACATTAGAAAGGAAAGTACTACGGAGAATGCTAGGACGTGTGAGGGAAAACGGATTCTTCAGAAGTCGATAAAACAACGAGCTTTATCAACTTTATAAGGAAGCAGGACTGTCACACTTGCGAAGTTCAAAGCCACAAGACGTGATAGAAAAAAACGTTCTGCAGATAGAAAAATCGTTCACAAGTTTCCTTCAAAAAAATTTGTTAGAGAAGCAAAAGATGCCGATGTATCTGCCGCAAATAAATACATAATGGACGTGTTACCTTCATTAATTAAAAATGCGAAACTGCGCTTTTTTACCGAGCTACGGCACTTTTTTTGTTTCCCAGAAGACAAAGCTGTAGGCGGAAAAGTTTCAAAGGACAGATTGGCGATTATGTGTTGTGCTAATTCTGATGGAAGCTAAAAATTGCCACTTTTATTATTAGAAAAGCCCAAGGTGTTTTCAATTCGTAACATCATTGCCCATAAAATAAAAAGTTTTAATAAAAATGCTTAGATGACAATGATTCTGATCAAGGAATCGTTTGCCGACTTCTACAAGAAAATTACAGAAAAAATAGTAAAGTTCTCTAATTTGTTAATAACTGATCTACCCAGAAACCTAACATGAGGCTGAAGAATATAACAATCCATTTTTTGCCCGCCAATACAACTTCACTTATTCAACTGATTCAGGAATAATTTCTTTTAAGAGAAATTGTAGAAAAGATGGACTTTTATAACACGACGTCTTCAGCTAGCTCCAATGACGTGGCAAAAATTGTTTTATGAAATGCAAGTTTTTCAAAGAAGCAGAAACTGTACCAACCGTAGAAAATGAGGAAATCCCAAAACTCGACAAAATAACATACGAAAATTTTTCAAGATTTGTTTTTTTTCGCGATAATTAATTTCTTTTCAAAGATACTGAAAATCATCAGCCAAATAATGAATATATTCAATTCAATATTAAAGCCACAGATGAGACAAAAGACGAAGATTTTTCTGAGTTCGAGGAAATTCCAAGCGGCAAGTTTGGCTCAAGTACGCTTTTAATATTATAAGAAGTTTTATGACGGGCCAATCTAACGTCAATTTTTCTAATTGAATCGCTATGTGCAGAAACAACACAGTCCATTTTTCCGTAAATCTGGTTTTTGAAATAATATGGGTATACACACGTAATTACATCTCACTACAGCAAAATAACACATATCAATATTAACTTATCTAGTAGTTAACGATATATTTTATTTGGTAATCAACAGAAACAACATAAATCCTGGACATGTGTGGTTTCTGCTGAGTAAGAGATTAGATGTGCGTGTGCTTCAACAGCTTTGCAATCAGTTATTTGTACGAGAAATTCAATAATAATCTAAGTAAATAGTCGTTACACGTAATATGTTTTCAGTTCTTGTTTAAAGTGATTTGTTATTAAAAATGGTGTAAGATGGAAACGAGTGCAGAAGTTACTACCAACAAAAAGAGGAAAGCAGTTCCTGAAAATTACCAACGAAATATTATAAAAAAGTTACGTACAAAAAGCGAACCATACAGAAATTACAAGGGAGATAATATTCCTGGTAAACAGTTAGGCCTTGCAGGTAATTTTACTTACATAATAATTTCGCGTATGTTAATTGATTGATTTTTCCTTTTTTTAAGGTACAAACGAAAATATTTTGACACATTTATTAACAAGGAATTGCAAAAAGATTTATGTCGTTTTTATTCTTTGGATTGTAAAGATAACCAAGACATATTTTTGCAAGTGCTAATAGAAGTTTGCAACATACAGAAGCAGCGCGCTAGGCTTCATGTTGGAAATTAACCGAAGTCCAATGCTTTCAAACATTATATATATATATATATATATATATATATATATATATATATATATATATATATATATATATAAAAGCACTGTTAGAACTAAAGTTTATTTAAATGCTTTTAAATGCAAACACTTAAAGTTTTTAAAAACATTTTAAGTGTTTACTATTACTATAAATCGAGTTAGAAGACTTAGAGATCTTGATGCTCTCAGAAAATCTCCAAGATGTTCCGAGGATATCTGCGTTATATATCAAATCATTTCTAGTTATCATCAGTCATTATTACAATCAAGAAATTAAATACCTTGACAGTCAGTTAAATCTTAAAATAATGTTTGACTTATTTAAGAAGAAACATCATGGGTTAAAAATAAGTTATCCTTATTACACGAGATTTTTAGAGAAAACTTTTCTCTTAGATTTGGTCGACTACAAATTGATGCCTGTGCAACTTGTGAGACATTGAATGATAAGATAAGAGACCCCAATATAAATGAAACCGCCAAAAGAGCAGAAGTGGTGGAACTTAGGGTCCATAAGCGTCGGAGTAAAAAATTTTACACCAAATTGAAAAATAATGGTCCCAACAACGGTAAAATATTCTAAAAACAGAAGATCTGATTAATTTTAAAGATTGGTGGACTACTATATATAAGAAAAACTGCATTATCAGAAAAAACTGCTTTCAGAAATCCATCCGGCAAAGCAAAACTACACTTCAATATCAGCAAATTTTCAGTTTATTTACGAGAGTGGAAAAAGGGAGTAGTTCCTGCTTCTGAGTTTATAGATGGCGCCTTCAGACATACAATTCAGCTACAACAGACTGGAAAAATTGGTATCGTTTTACCATCGAAACCTGCCTATCCTTGAGGAAAAGAGCTCATCAAATTGAAAAAAAATCAAGGACATCAAATTTCTTGAAGAACAATTCAAAGAATTTTATAATTTAATAGTTCTTTGGCCTACTACTGCTAATAATTAAGTGTTGAGAGTTTTTTGTAAGGTTTATGGATAAAATTTAGCGTATAAGTTAAATTTATCTACTAATTTTATCAATGGTATGCAGGAAGCACATAATATGTACACTTAAAAATATATCACAAAAACTACAACTTTTAATTGTAAACTAAAACCATTGCATCTTCTGAAAAAATCGTTTTTTGGACATGTTTCTGCATATAGCGATTCAATTATTATAATTTAGAGCAACAAGTGATTAATATTTTATGTAATAAAAAAATATCAGGCGAAAATTAGCGATTATTTTTTAAGAAAAAATAATTAATTCTGTTGTATGTATTTTAATAAAAAAATATGTACATATTGATTCTGTCTTCTGTCGTTGCCCACAATTTATCACCAATATTTTTCAAACTGTTTGTCCTTTGTCTAGTGTTACTTTTTGTGTAAATGTATTTAAAAGTTTATGACATTTATTGATATGCTGGATAGCCAACAATTTTTGACGAAATGTCCCTGAAGATAATCTGAGAGCGAAAATACTTGGTCAAAATTTAATAAAAAAACTATGCTCGATATCTGCCTTTTATTTTTAACATTCATACATTCGAGCATTCAGTCATATATTATTTTATTTAAAATGTATTTCACTAAACTACAGATATTATAAATAAGATTTAATTAAATAAATTAAGATTTTCGAATAGTAATATTTGGTAAAAACAGAACAATGAAAATAGTTATATTTAAAGAAATAAAATTACTTGGAGCTACTTTATTTCTACAAAAAGTAATAAACATGAAAATAAATAAATAAATTAAGAAATAGAAAAAAGTTAAAAATAATATGGGTATTGGCTTATAGTTCAGGTTATGGGGCCTCTAAAAAATATTTCTGATTCGGTTTCTTTGCAGGTTCTTTTTAAAAATGTCAACTTTAAACAAATCCGAAAGGCGACGTATAAAATTTTTGGGCAGAAATTATTTAAATATTTTGTTTTAACAAATTTTAATCAACCCTTTTTTACTCCCAAAAATAAATTTTTTAAAATAATATAAATAATATTAATATAAATAGGTTTTTGTGTCATTATAAACAAAAATGTATTGTCATTTTTCTCTAAAGTTGACAGTTTTCCAATTATAATCGATTTAAAATCTGAAAAATGCCTTATAAACTAATTATGTAAATTATTATTGGGCCTACATTGAAGTTTAAACATTCATTTCAAGATTTTTAAGAGCAATCAGAACCTATTTTAATTTATACTGTTGTTTTTCAATTGTTAATTATACGAGCCCACTCGATATGGTGCGTAAAAAATCCCAACAAATAATAACATTTATTCAAATTTTGTAATTTATGATTAACATAGTTCCACCCTTCTGATTTGTTTAAAGGAACATTTTTGAGAAACCGAATCAAAATCATTTTTCCTACGGGAGCGGTCTCACAACATGGACTATTTATTACGTTTATACAGCAACCAAGTTTTATATATTTCAAACAATATTAAAGAAATTTTAATCTTTTTCTTAAATTTTAATCAATTAAAAAATATTTTTGTAATAATTAATGCTAAAAAACGGTATTATGACTTACCTCTATTCACTAAATTCTGAACTAAAGAACAAGTAGGTTTACACAATTTATATATCAGACTCTAAGTGACGTGGATTAAATGTTTTTTAGTTCATTCAATATAAAGTCTATTGTGTACAGATAATGATTTTTATCTTAAAATTCAATTCATTCGAATTTTTTATTTAAATCCCATACTTCGAACTTCTCATATACCTATCTCATATGATTTTATCAGATTAATCCAAGAATATACACTCGAAAGATACTAAATCTTACTACTAAAATATTAAAGTATTACAAGCAGATATAATGAAATAAGATTAAAAAATATATACGGAGTCCAAAAAATTTGGAGTTTTAAAAAAATAAAGAAACACGCAAAATAGGGATAAAAGGAACTAATACAACGTTTAGAGCGTGGGCGCAAAATTTCGGGCCAACGCTTTTTAAATGCATTCATTTTTTTCGAATCCTGAGAAAACTAATAAATATTTTTGAAAAATTTAAACGCAGAATAAAAGATTACATTATTATCGAGGGCCGAAGGTCCCTGAAAACGTCTATAATGTTTATTTAAATAAATGACAGAGGTGAAAAAGAACAGAAAATTTAGTGTGATTTTTATTCTCAGATATCTCATTCAAAAAAACTTTTTTATTCTAAGGGACTTTCGGCCCTCGGTAATAATTTAATCTTTCATTCTGCGTTTAGTGAAACAAAGTGGTGACAAGGCTACTAAATATTTGACACGACTTCAGGAATATTTTGAGCTGCTAATTAAATAATATTGATAGTTTATTTGATAAATAGTTGCTTTGAGACGTGAAATTAATATAAAGTTATGTATTGTTTATTATTTATGGAAGAACCAAGTATTTGAAGTCATTAAAGTTTAAATAAAAGTATTATTTTATAAAAGTTTGTTTTCATAATCGTAAATGCGAGTGTAACAATAAACTAATGTGCCCATAGTGTAGATATGAAAAGCTATGAAGATGGCGTATGACAATATCGAATGAATTATTAAATGTTGACATCATATATTATAGTAAAGATGATTGTAAGAGTTTATAATTAAAGGTTTTACTTTTCATGGAGAAGTTTAACGCTTTTTTTTCTCGAAGACAAATAATGAAATAATATTTTCTGCTACACATCTACATATTTTTTGTTTAGTATTTTGTTAGAGTGTAAGGATTAAAACACTGGGTTCAATGTACATTCATTGTTTATTTACAATATTTATCTTGGACTATATCAATGGTACATTTAAGACTTAAAACTAAAATTATTTGTCTATTTATATAGAAAAGAGAGTGTTTACATAGGCCTATAGAAAATATATAGTAACTAGGTACATGGAAAGTAAAATAAAAACTAAATTAAAAGATATTTATGTTAAATGTAATAAATATTCTCTGCAATAAGATCCTATTAATCATAATTAATAACTTATCATTATTAGATTATTTCAAAAGTGTGTTTCCTGGATTGTTTTATATACCTACGTTTTTTTATTACCCTAAGAAATTACATAGCCGAATCTTTACAGAGTAATAATCCTAAACCTCTAAGTATCGACGATCACAATAAATTAATAACAGACTCGGTTAGAAACGCACAACTCAAATTTTACAAGAAAAATGACACCGAAAGTGAAAAGATTAGCAAAGATACAAAAGCTCTCGTGGAAATACGACGAAACCTAAACGAGAACGAAAAGGGAAACAAAGAAGAATATAAAAAAACTAAATAAAAAAATTTCAGCGGAAATTAGAAAAGATGTAAGAAGATGTAATACTAATGTAATTACTCAAACAGTAGAAGAGAACAAAGGTTTAAAGATAATGAAAAGAAAACTCACACAAAGTAAAAAAGAAATATACAAGCTGAGAGATAAAGACGGAAAAGCAACAACAGATAAACAAAACATTCTGAAAATAACCAGAGAGTTTTATAAAGACCTCTATACCAGCCAAAGACCACAAGACAATTTCCCGACACGAGTAAAGACTCTCGTCAATCAGGGATCGGAAATACTTTTACCCATTACTGTGTCAGAAATAAAAGCAGCTTTAAAGGAAATGAAGAACCATCGATCGCCTGGCGATGATGGACTCGTTATCAAGGCAATAAAAGCAGGAGGAGAAATTTTATTAAAATCAGTAAGCGAACTGTTTAATAAATGCTTACATGCGGGTACGATTCCAAAAGACTGGGACAATGTAGTAATAGTCTTGTTACACAAAAAAGGCGATATTACTAAATTAGAAAATTATAGACCCATCAGCCTCTTGACACATATGTACAAACTCTTTATGAAATTCTTTACAAAGAGGCTAACAACTAAACTTGATTTCTATCAGCCCAGAGAACAGGCAGGCTTCAGGGCAGGATATGGCACAAATGACCATTTGCATACCATAAAGATCTTAATAGAAAAGTGCATTGAGTACAACATACCACTGGTTCTTGCATTTGTCGATTACGAGAAGGCTTTTGATTCTGTAGAGTTTGAAACAATACTGAAAGCCCTAAATCAAAGCCGAGTAGATTACAGGTACACGACACTAATCAAAAACATCTACCAGAAAGCTACATCAAGTATACGACTTATATTTCACCAAAATTGTTCACGCCAGCTCTAGAGTCAATATTTAAGAGCACTCAATGGCAAGATATGGACATCAATATAGATGGAGAAAGATTAAATCACCTAAGGTTTGCAGATGATGTTGTATTAATCGCAGATAACTTATATGATACAGTTTCTATGATGCATTCGCTTAAAAGTCTGTCTGAAAGAGCAGGATTAAAGATAAACTTTGAGACAACTAAACTTATAACAAATCTCGTAATGAGTGGAAATATGTATAACTATTGACAATAATACCATACAACAAACAGACACTTACAAATATCTGGCACACGAAATCATAATAAGCAGAGACAATCAAACACATGAAATACAGAGGCGAATAGGCCTAACATGTACAGCATTTGGCAAATTAAGCCATATTCTAAAAAGTTCAATTCACAATCAAGCAAAAATCTGCGAATAAACTTAGAGTTACACAACGAGCCATGGAACGTGCAATGCTGAACATGAGCCTTCGAGACCACATAACAAACCAATAAATCAGGCAAAGATCAGGAGTTCAAGACGTCATCGAAGGAACCACGACGCTTAAGTGGAACTGAGCAGGGTACTTAGCCAGAACACAAGATGAACGGTGGACAAGACGTATTATGGAGAGGAATGAAGGCCCAGAAACTATAAAAAAAAAAGCCGAAAACGACCACCGACTAGATGGACCGATGATATAAAACGTGTAGCGGGAAACGGGCTACAAGCGGTCCAGTGTAGAGAACACTGGAAAGAACTGAGGGAGGCCTATATCCAAAAGTGTTTACAAGAGGTAAAGAAAAACATCTGAGCTTGAAATGTTTGGGTGTCGATGCCGTTCTGGGAAAACGTGTTGACTCTCAAAACACATGTATATATTGCCGAAAGTGTTCGAAACCAAATATAACAAATTTGCTGATAACTGAATAGGAATGTAAATGCAATTTTAAAATTATTTTGAAATATACCAGGGGTCTCATAAAGCGGACGTCTCAAACGTATCTTTGTTTTTATGAAACTCTCGCATTTTATTGCATTTTTATACCTTAATATTGTAATGTCGGAGATATTTCGATTTTACATTGTAGGAAAAAAAAATAATAACTCCGAAACCAATGAATTTAGCCAAACAATATTTTAATTTTGAGTACAATCGTAATATAGAAAATACCGACGTATTAAAAGTTATATGAAAATACACAGGGTGTCAATTGTTTACAATTATTATTTTATTATTTGTTAGGTATATCACAATTATTTCACAATTCAATTTTGTTTTTTTTTAGCTATATTAAATTTTTTAATATTTATTCCTTAATTAGAACACTTTTTATATGAACGTATGACTATAGTATAATTATTTTACCGTTTAAACAAACGTTGAAAAATTTCGTTGTTGCTTCATCCACTGGAATAGTCTTAGATTTTGAAATATATCAAGAACGATTGACTCCTCTGCCAGATATAAAGTATGGACTTGGACAAGCAGTTGTTTTAAGACTGTGTTCATCTTTGCCTCAGGGAAGTTTTTTACATTTTGATAAATATTTTACAACCTGTAATCTAATTTCTCGTCTAAATGGATTAAAATTTTATGGAACTGGTACTGTCATAACAACCGAATTTCCAAATTGAATTTCTCACTAGATAAGAATTTTGGAAGAGGAGACAGCGAACAGTTTTATTGCAGTGAACAAAACATGGTTGCTGTTAAATGGCGGGATACCAAATCCGTTACTATGTTGTCAAATGCGTCAGGGATTGAATCAGAACAAAGTGTCAGAAGGTGGTGTAAGACAGAAAAACGATACGTAGACGTCAAATGCCCTGAAATAGTAAGAACTTACAATATTAATATGGGTGGAGTAGACATCTGCGATCAGCAACTTGAATATTGTAGAACCTGGATAAAAACTAGACAGTGGACATTAAAAGTCATACTTCATTTTTTAGATTTAGCCGTAGTAAATTCTTGGATGGAATACCGCGAAGATTGCTGGTCAAATAATATTCCAAAATCTAAAATACGAGATCTTCTTACATTTAGTATGGAAGTCGGTGAAAGTTTATTAGCGTCACCTAAAAGAAAAAGATCAAATGAAGAAGTGGAAGAACAGGTTGAGGAAGAATAAACACAAGACGAAACACAAATCAGGCCACAAAATTATCGAGCTCCACAACCAGCTGAACATAAAAGGTTAGATGGTTACGAACATTGGCCAAATATTGACCACTTAACTACAGCAAGATTTTATAGAAGGTCGGGTTGTAAAAGCAGAACCCGTGTTAGATGTCTTAAATATGATATTTACCTATGTCTCACCAAAGACCAAAACTGTTTTAGGAAATTTCATACCAAATAATATGTGTTCTAATGTATTAATACTTTATACAGTTTTAGTAAAATTAAGCTCAACCTACACAACTGTGTGGGTATCTTATTTCTAAACACCCTGTATAAAGAATTATTTTATTATTTTTTCTGTGCTATT